GAAATATACAGGAAAGTTAGGCTAAATAGGTTATCCACTATGGAAGAATAGACAGAAAGCTTACCCTTATCATAGGCTTGCTGAAAAAAATTCAAGAGGAGCAATGTCCAAAAGAGATTCTTCTCTACTAATAGTCAGCTTTTAAATGGGGTCTAGGAGAAGCGGAGCCAGGCTCCAACCCTTCCGATAGCACAGAATTGTCTTCACCTGTGCTCCCAGGGCTGACTCATTGCTCAGCTCAGGTGGTCAATCAGAGGTTCAGGCTGTGATTCAGCAGTTCGCATACATCATATAATTACCAACAATTTACCATCTGCTTTTTCATTACAGATGTGCAAGACTTCAGACTTTGGGTTAACATAGTCAGTATTAACGCAATCTAACCAGTCCTGTTGAATTGCTATTCAACAAAGAAATGCGGTTTTTTTCTTCCTTTTCCAACACTGATAAACTTTTAGCAACTTGAGACTTCCTAACCTATAAGTGATATCTTCAAAGTTAGTGTCTGATATATATATCAACAACTACCTTTGATTTTTTTCTGCCAAGCTATGTTCATAAACAACAAAAACTCTAAAGCCCCTCTTTCCATTTGCTGGGTGAGGAGGTTACAGTATTTGCAATGCTACTAACATGCCAGTGAAGTCTTATGTCAGTAGGAGACTAAAAATCATAATGATCCTCCTTAATCTCGTATGATAGTCCTTATTGCCGTTCTATGTCATCTAGCATCACAGAAGATTGCATTACCAAATTAAAACAAAGTAGTTTATTCTAATTTCAGGGGGAAGGGAGATAACATGCAGTTAATCTAGGAAGAAACTGGTGCCAGTTATATCAGACTGCTTCTAATTATAGAAGGCTACATCATAGCCTTTTTACATGGAAACTAATAAGGTACTTCTATAGGTTTGTTGATTTCTGGTTCATTCTATGATTAACTTGCCATTAGAGGCTTCCTTGTCTATTTTCTCCTCCTTTCCCTTGTATCCAAACTGGCGCACCTGAAAATAAAATCTTACCTACGCTCACAGCACCTGATTCTCTTTCACAAACTTTCATTCTGCCAAATGAATGCACTCTGCTTATTCAGAGCCTCAATCAACATTGTAGGTCAGTCACTATAGCAGTTTCCTACTTTTTGAACATGCTCTTTCTTCTATTTGTAAAAGAATCCTACAGACTAGAAAGAAGACTCACTGAGAGGAAGTGAAACAAGCTGTACATCAGTGATGTCAAGTGTAGAAACTAACAGAGCTTCTTCTAACAGTGCCCTACTTTTTCGCTCTTAGAACATGTAAAAGACACAGACAAAAAGCATAACTAATGGACCCTTTCCTCTCCTAGCAAGAGTATCAGCCAGAATGTAAAACCACACAGAGAAGATATCTGTCTTGTTGAATTATACTATTGAATACAGCTGCATTCAGATCAATTATTTTTAATTGCAGTTGTGCTTCAGAAACACTCAGCTCTAATTACAAGCTTGATCAGTGTAGATGGTGCTGTATAAACCTAGCACAAGGAGAGCTCATTACTCACTTCAGCCATGCACTTTTGCTCAACTAGGAGTAGCTGATCTTATACAGGCAGTGAACTACTTTATTCACCTTCATTTTTATTCCTGTATGAGTTATTTCAGCAGCAGATGGCTGAGTGTACATTTTATTCCGCAGCTGAGTAAAGTAAATGCAGACCTGCTTTGTTACAGTATCTAATCAAATTTCCATTTTGCAAATGTAGGCCTCAGTTTGCCACATACATATGCATGAATGATATATATAGCCCCACTGAACTCAAATGGTGGCTTCAGGATTTTAAATTTATCCACATAATTTCAATATTGTAAACATTTATGACTGGCAATTCTAGGATCCTGTATCTAAAAAAAATAACATTTTGACCTTGAGACTCCAAAATTTTCTTTACCAAAGCTCCCTATGTTTCTGTGACTTGCTGTGCACACAACCCACTGCATTTGATGTTACTAAATACTTTAGTGCCTTATTCATATCAAGACCGTAAGTCTCTACTTGGCATTGTTGCTGAGATTGAACCTCATGGTAACTTCAAAATATGCCATGATGTCTTCATGGTGCTGCGCCACTTCAATAAGAAACATAAATTACATATTCAAAAGAGTTCCCAAAACTAACATGCTCCATATCTGATCTTTGGGCTTCTTATTTATATAATGTCATGCACTTAAATTCTTATTGTATTTTAAGCACAGTATAAAAACTACTAGTCTGCATTTTAAAAAACACTTTTATAGATGTTCTTCTATTCCCCATCATGCCCCATGCGCACAGCTATACCCACCAGCACTAAGTGTTAACTACTGTGCTATGCAGCTGATCTTCTTCATGAAAGCAGTTAAGAAACAAAAATATTTTTCTGTTTTGAGATACCAAAGAAGCTCATTTAGCTCTATGAGCATTCCGGTTACTCTTGAAAAAAAATACTCTAATGCAGAATAACATGGGAATTAACTCTTTTTTGCACGGAATTTCGGGGAGTTGCAGTTTGTTCTTGCACTTCTTTCTTAAAAATTCTCTGATTTTGTTTCATATCTACAAATAACAAGATATTTTCCACTGTAGTTTTTCTTGCTTTCTTTCATGCAGAGATGAAAGAATGATGTGGTAGGTGGAAAAGAGAATGTATTCATCAAATTGTTTGGAACTGCATCAAACAATAATGTATTTTCATTTAGAAAATCAAGGATAGATAACACTGCTCGGTAAAGAAAATCCGGAGACAAATTGGTGTTATCAAGTAGTTCAATATTCAAAATTAATTTGACTGTAGATTTCACTAATTCATTGGGCACATTTGTTTGGTTTATCTGTATTTCACATTGAATAAAGGGACACAAATTTAATAGAGACTAAGTTGATATATCTAATAGAAGTAAGGTATACATTATACACTTTATTTTATTTTATTTGGAATAACATAAAACTGTTTCTCCATTAAGCTCTTCTGTGTTTTAGGACGCATTTACTGCACCAGTATGGTCTTAGAAAACTAGAATTACTGTATTGAATGTTAAAGCTCTATTTGGGTATTTAAAATGTAGACAGTAAAAATAAACTGTTATATCAGTACTTTGTATATAGTTACTGTTGTTCATATATTACACTATTGAAGAATTAGTGGACAGAGTAGATATTCAAAGTTAAAAATGCATTAGAGATGAATGAATTTGATTTAGTGAAATAGATTTTGATGCAGCAGTTGTTTCTTGTCAGTTCAATGAGTTTTACTCAGGGGATATCACTTCTGGCCATAATCTACATGGTTCAAATGCTAATCTTTACACACAACTACTTTTTGTCTGAATACATGCAAAGTTTGGTAAGAGCTATATTTTTGAATTTTTCTACTTTATGACATTTGATATGAAACTTTAAATCTGTGTTTATACTGTTGTGCATGCAAGTATAGATGAAAAAAAGTACATTTAATACAAGCATGTAATGTCTTGCGTAATATCTGATCTTACTGAAGCATTTATTTAAAAGGATATGGGTTTGTTTTTATTATTTTCATCTAGTCCCAACAAAATACCAAGAAAGATAAACCAGTATCATCCTAAGTGCTTGCAAAAACCTTAATATTAAGGGTACTCTCCAAAAGAAACAGAACAAATCTGAAGGTCACTGATTCTTAATGTGCAGATACATTCAACAAAGACAGATTAGAAAGGATGAAGTATGTTTCAGGTTTGAGGCCAGTATATCAAAACAGTATGTCTGAATAGTATTTGTAGATGTATTCAAAGAGTAATGAAGTCACTGAACATAACGGGGGAAAGACTGACGTCTGCATAACAGAGTTTATTTCCCTCACTAGAACTCAAAATTTCCGTATTTTCTGAACACGATATTTAAACACTAAATTGTTACTGAAATGTTAAAAGATATTTCCAGTTATTTGCAGATTATTCTTAACAGCTAATTGGCTTTGGAGTAAAGCAGAAAAGAAACATTGCGAAGAAGCTAAATGGATGAAAACTTTATAATTTAGATGTAAAAATTACTCCATTCTTTTCCTCATGCTTCAATCTATTATATATGAGTCAAGTGTACCCTTGTGGGTCAAACTATTTCAACAATAGTTTTAGATTTCAGTCTTAAAATCTCACATTGCCTGAATTATTTATGTCCTGAGAAAGTCTAAATGAAACCTTAATGTGAATAGGAAGCAATTTTTTTTTTTTTTTTCTGTTGTTCAAACAGACAATTTATCCAGAAAAACTTTGGAATAGAATTCCAAAGATATATTTTCTGACATATATACAGAGGATATAGAACAGCTTTTCCCCATTGAGAGTTCACGCACATGTTCAGCTGAGAGATAGAAATACAAGGAAAAACTATTTGCTCTTTACAACGTCTTCCCCTTGATTAGCACTTCAGCTACAAATGTTAAGGTTTTATTTAATCATACACAATGAGGTAAGAGTAAATACCGGAGTCTGAATATGGAGTGCCAGTTCGTTCTTCACAGTCAGCTCACATGAGATTATGATCAATTGCTTTTCCACGTTTTCCACCAGATTCAGAGAAAAGTATTTTTTTCGGTTCAACTAATACCTCACTGCTGGATAAATTTTCTTACTTCCTTTCAAGAATTTGTATCTAAATTGATATAAATTGACATAAGCACATAAATATAACTTTGACATCTAACATTTCACTCCATATAGAATGAGAGGGAGATATGATGGTGCAAGAGAGGATAAATTCATAAAAATGAGCCAAACATAGCTGATTTTGATGCTACATAACTATTAAGATTTCAAAAAAGAAATCTTTCTTTTTTTCCTACCTCAGTGTGGCTTAGAATGGTAAATAATGTTTTTTTTTTGTTAACTAGCCCAAAGAGATCTGGTGAATTTTCTACTTTAATGGCATTTGCTGAAGTCATCACTATTTGGTATGTCCCCGCTTTTCAAAGTTTACCACTGACTTAAACTTTATATATTTTTTTAGTTGGATACACAATGAATGATCTCATTTTTGAATGGCAAGAAAAAGGAGCAGTTCAAGTAGCAGAAGGACTCACTCTGCCACAGTTTCTGTTGAAAGAAGAAAAGGATTTGTGTTACTGCACCAAGCATTACAATACAGGTAGGAAAGCATATTAGTGATTAAAACCAAAAAGCCATCATTTTACATTTATTGTTATTTTGGAGAGATTTATTTATTTGTTTAATATTCTCAGTGAACTCACAAGATGATTGAAACATACAGATGCATTTTTCAGGACAAGATTGTCTTAAATAATTGACACAATGAAAAGCACCTCGCAGCTGAGAAAACTTCTATTTCAGTAAGCTTAAGAAAATACTCATTTGAAATAATAAAGAAGCAATTTAGTCAGGAGTTTCTTTTTTTTAGTGAATGCCATGACTACATATACACTTCAGGATATGAAGCACTGCCAAGACCAAGAAGTCCATATGCTGTGCACTAAGCTCTGCCTGGCTACATCAGGAAAAGCCTGTTACTTCTTCCAAGCCAGCTATCCCTGCCCTATTTCTTAATAGCAATGGAAAAATGCAGACCAGCTGAAAGTATACTTATTGTACAATAGATGAGTGTCCAAACTAGATACGGCCTTCCTGAGTTGAGGTCTTTGTAGAACCGTGATGTTATGTTTAACTTATGTCTCTAGGGTACTGGGAAAAACAAAGTTTTATCAATACTAATTCAGTCATTTTGTTTCTAATTGTAAACAAAACTGCCTTGAAAATTGAATAATCACAAGCATAATAATCCTCCAAAAATATGTATAGCAAATGCTAAGAGTGCACAGCTTCCATCTTCTCAAGTTAAAAACAAACAAAGCACGCAATTAAGATTCTTTCATTTATCCATTCTCTCTTAAAGTCTGCTCTCCGGTGTGATTATCGATACGTTAAACATAACTTGAAATTTAAGTTTCAAACTACTTTATTTGGATTCTGCTGAATTGACAGAGGAGGGAAAATTCAACGGGCAGCATTCATAAAGAATGTCCTGTTGCAGTGAAAATAAAATAAAAGTGATTTTCAACACTGAATGTATCACAGCTGCGTTGATACCCTAGGGATAGAGAACTGAAGGTTCTCTAATGGTTTCTATTTAGAATGGATAGAAATACCAACATTCAACGTGTTCTCTGAAACAAAGTAACGTGCACCTTTACTGTACAAATAGTAATGTCTGTCTGATCCTTGATGAGCTTCCGAAAGTGGAGATACATGTCCTACAGGAAGGTAATTCTTTCACTCAAACATATGTTTGTTAATGATGCTTAAATTAACATTATTCCTTTATTCCTTTTAGTATGATCCTTAAGACGGACAACACAACTTATGTGATTCATCTCTGTCTTCTAGAGATAAAGGCAACCACTGCTTCATTTTTAGAGCCCTCTTGATCTTGTGCTTTTTACATGTGCCAATATCTGTGCTTCCATAAACCATATGATGACATTATCAAAGAAGAATCTATGGTGGAAAGTATTTTCCACATTTCTCCAAAATTCATTAGAACATTTCATGAAAAAATCTCTAACTCAGGAATTATAACATTACTGTCAGACTTAATCTGATATTGAATGGAAACTTATTTTAAAATGCTAGATTTTCCAGTGATTTCTCTCTAAATTTCTCATCCAAAGTAGAATCATATTTTAAATAGTTTGCCTGAGAACTCTCATTAAAATTGTCATAGTTTAAACCTTTGACTTTGACAGAAACTTTATTTTTTCAGCATTTTTGAGCTTACACCTTTTTCTTCATAACCTATGAGCCATGACCATGAGTCTCTAACCTTGTGGCTTGAGCCACGGATAAAATATATGATATAATTAATGTGTATATGTAGCAAAACATCTTTTATTTTTTTTTACTGTTGTTTACTAACACATAAGTGAAAGATAGCAACAACAACAAAAAGTTAGAAGGCTGAACACATATCCTGTAGACAGATACCCTTTCAGAATACTCCAGAAGAAACTCCCATATAATTCATTTCAAGTGACCAAATATCAGTTTCTTGATTAAGTTTAGGTGCATCACAGGATGGAAAGCTTTTGAGAGACATTCTGTAGAACAGAAATAAATTTTTAAAAATCTTCCTGTGAAACAAATTAACTTGAAGTTTCAGGACAGTATGTAAGAGCTAATCAGTGCATGCACTCATTAGAGTTTCATGTCCAATTGAGAATGGATTGCTGTAACTGTAGCTTAAAAATAACATATGTAAAGTTCTTCAAATATAGGGATGGAAGTGTTTCAGCAACAGCACAGCATAATGGCTCATGATGTCTTGTGTTTAAATTGATGCAATGATATTTATGATCATTTTTATCTGTTTTTACATCCTCTGGCATGTCTACAGTGACAAATTTAGAAAATGAAGTGAAATCCTAGTAACCAGAAAAGTCATATGTGACTTCTCACATTATGAGAATAGTCCTGCTTTACCCTGACTGTGTCACATGCATGCTGGGCTTTCATGGAACACCCAGTTTTCAACTGCAACTACTGGTAGCTGCACAGACCAACATACATAGGCAGATTCATACATAATAAACATTGATTAGCAAGCACAAAAGAAATTCGAATAATTCCATTACCACGGGTACTATACTAACCATAATCCTGATTAAAAATATTCAGAGCTGTGTTGTCAATAGAATGGTTTGGGGTTTTTTTTCACTCTAAGTGTTGTTTGTAGCAATCCTGGAAACTGCGCAGACATGGCTATTGCTCACCAGCAGAACTGATAGATTCTGTAAGGGACCATTTCCGATGTCTCTGTATCTGTAATTTGGTAAATCTGCAATCTTGGTGACCTGCCCAATTCTTTAACTTCATCTTCCCCATTCAACGTATTCAACTTCTTAATGTATGTAGTCCATACACAATTTTTCCCATGGTCTTCTTTCTTTCCTCTTAAAGCCAAATAAATCGCTTAACAACCTGCAAACTGTGCTTCTTCTAGGTCCCAGCTACTACTGACAATGTCTTACATTGGGCCGTTTTGCTACTAACATGACAGTGCCTAAAGAAGGAGAAACAAGCTTTGATGCTTTCCTCTGTCAACAAGAACTCAAACCCTCATGTTCTTTGAGAATCACCTAAGACACTGTTTCTGAGATTGTAGTAGTGATTTATAACCCATGGATCTGCAACCTTTTGGGGTTGAAACTGGAACATAAGAAGTTTCATACTAATACAAGTATTAGTATTACTAATACTTTACTGGCAGAATGACAGCATGCTGAACAGGTTGCTTTAGTGAGAACCTGAATTGAGAGGGGATCTGATCAATGTCTGTAAATATTTCAGGTGCAGGAGGCAAAGGGACGAGGGACAAGAAAAGAACAGGATCTCACAGCTAGATGATGGCTTCAGCTATAAAAAACAGCACAGCCTCTGCTGGCTGCTTCCTAGCTGAAGCTCACATCTGCTAGTGCAAATGCTGTATTTCCATTCTGCTTCATCAGCCAAGTTTATGCAGGTGGTTCTGATCTCAGCCAAGAAGGGCAAAAACTAACAATACCCTTTCCAAGCTTAGACCAAGAACTGCTGCAAATGGTCTCTGCTGAGATGGTCTCTGCTGACTTCTGTCTGCTGCATTTGTCCTCTGATGTCTCTCATGGATGAGAAAGCCCAGTAATCTGTGCAGAAACAGAAGGGTTTCTATTTGGGTAGTCACCCATCTTCCTGGGAAGTTGCCTCCTATTAAGTTAATTCTTCAGCACTACATAGGAACAGAGGAGAGGAGGAACACAGAAGTCTTGGCTGGGAAGCACACTACAGCTGAGGGGGAAATCCCATAGTCAATGTAATTCCATCAGCTCCTAACATGGACTGGCAGGTGCAGAAAATCACTGGGCCTCAGAGGAAGGCAGGAATATTAATCGACACATTCAGTGGAGTTAGATTTACAACTTGTGCATTTAACATTTTATAACTACTGCCTTTGTAAATATGGTGGGTTGTTAATTTTCTTTTTTCTTTCTTTGGCAGAATAAAGGTTTCATCCAGTGGAATTTAGTATAGCACTGTAGAAATAACTAAGGGCATGTTAGAAGTACTGTGAAAACAACAAAGTTCAGGATATAATTCCAAGCACTAATTACGCTTGGAATTAAAACATTTCAGTTTGACTTTATCAAGTATTCATTTCCGAATGCCTAATGTTAGAGCATAACATATAGTATACCGAGTAAAGAATAAGCTTATTCTCTGAATCATTCATAAATCTGATGCATAAATGTCATTAGTATGATAAATATTAAAGCACTGTTAATGGAACCATTTCTTATAAAACAGATAAAGCTGGATTAGGAAAGTGCTATCAAAAACTAGTCGAAAGCATAGCAAAAAAGAAAATCCTCCTATCAATTAAGAAATAAATAACTAAATGTCTTTCCATGTTAAACTTGGAATTACGAAATGCTCTTATTGAAATAGATAAGAAATCTGTCAAATATATATTTCTTGCTATGATAAACTGACATATATACAGTATTTATTGTAAGAGCATTGCCTTCAACAGTATTTATGTCTGATTAATGTAAACATTGAGTAGAATTAGAAAATATAATGAGATTAGGTCAAGATCACTGAAAAAAATATTCAATTTACAGAGTAAAATATCTTGATCAGAGAAAACTCTGCTTATGCATGTTTTGGCACTGCTATGAGCAGACAGTAGATTTTTTTGTTCTAGCTCAGTTACATCAGTAGAAGTTGCTTGATGCTCAGTATTCAGAAAAATGAGGCCACTCAATCAGTTTCCTGGAGTAGCCCATTTGCAAGTCTTCTATTTCTGATTTAAGTCAAAACAATTTGAATGGAGGTGAAGGGAAGTACTTTACGGGATCTCTTGTTGATGACCTAGCACCTTCACTGTTGTCACTACATTTTCTTCCAATTCATTGGAATAAAGAAAAAATTGTTTAAGCATAAAATTGGACCAAAACATAATGGAATTCTTTGCATATATAAGGAAATAAGTGTTCCAGAGCTTATTGAATTTTAAAATTGCAGTTATTCAGACCACTTTCTTTCCAGCAGTTAATCCTTTTGAAATGGCATAATGCACATATTAAAAGTCACAGAAGGGAAATTAAAACACTCACCATTCATTAAAGAAGAAATGTATTTGATGCAGTATACACTCTTTAGGTAACAATATATTTCTATTGAATATTTATTCTTTGTTATAAAAAGGAAAGTTTACGTGTATTGAAGTCCGATTTCACCTCGAGAGACAGATGGGTTACTATCTCATCCAGATGTACATACCAAGTCTCTTGATCGTGATTCTCTCTTGGGTGTCATTTTGGATCAATATGGATGCAGCTCCAGCCAGAGTGGCTTTAGGCATAACAACTGTACTGACCATGACGACACAAAGCTCAGGCTCACGAGCATCACTTCCAAAGGTAGGTGGAATTTCTTCTGTGTGTACTGCATTAATACAAAATAAAAACATTATGTGGCAAATAAAGTCCTTAAGTCAATCTTACATGTTTTAATTAACATCACTTATTATTTTGAAGGAAATAAATAGCTTTGAAATATTAATCCCACAGCATGCTAAACAACATATCCCAACAAGCGATGAAAACAATGTTTTTCTGTACCAAATGTGTGCTGCTTTATATCAATTGATATCAAAAGCTCGTCCTTTTCTGGATCCCAATATCTAATAACGTGCTATCAAATATGACTGAATTTCTTAAGGAAATTGCTTTAAAGACTGTTTTTCCTTTCAGTTGTTATTCCTTGACCGTCTTCATTGCAGTTAGTGGGAAAAAATGTATGCAGTAAAAACAAATTCCACTTCTGTATGAGTTTTAACATGGATTTTTTAAGTTTGCTGATTACATTTTTTCTAGGTAAAGTAAAAAACCCTAACAGAGGTGAATGTGCCTTGTACATTGTGTATATGGATCACAATATGCCTGAGTGTAGCATTAACAGATGAGAAACTGAAACACATTAAAAACCCTGAAAAGCAAGAACGTAAGGGGTTACCAAAGGGAGATGCAGATGTATTTGTCACATTCTTGAGGCCTGATGCTAGCTCTGCTGTCTTAAATGATAAAACTCTTGTAAATCTCTACACAGAGTGTTCCATATTCCCAGTTCAGATTATGTCCTGCAGCTGAGCTTGGCAATGAAGGACTGCAGTGAGTTCATCAGTTCTGTAACTCATTTTCAGTACTTATACTGAATTTAAATCTATATCTTTAATTTACTCTGCCTGTAATTAGCAGAAAAAATTAACATAAAATGAACATATCAGAATTTTGCATCTCACTTCACCTAATTTCTAGTCTGGGAACTTTAAATAAGTATAACAGAGCAATTCTTAGCATCATTCACAGATCTCATTGGGAGAAATGGAGGAAGAACATGTGATCCTTGTGGATTATTTTGTTTATGATAAAATATACAGTACATTAAGAGAAATTGTTAGGGTGAAAAATAGTAAACATCTGTGAAAGATGACACTTAAAAAATAATCGTTAAAATATAAGTATTCCACTGTTTTCTCTCTTATTATCGAATTTCCATGTGAAAATTTGTTTCACAAACGAGTGCTAGGTTTGGAGATATTAACGAGCTTCTTCCTGACATGAAATGCTAAACTTTACATCTGTGCTTTGAAAACATTCAGTCTTCTGCTCTATTTTCTTCTTAGGTGTCATATGTCAAAGCAATTGACATCTGGATGGCTGTGTGTCTGCTCTTTGTATTTTCTGCACTTTTGGAATATGCAGCTGTAAATTTTGTGTCAAGGCAGCATAAAGAACTCCTACGATTCCGACGGAAGAGGAAGAAGAACAAGGTAAAGCTAATAGTACTCACAGCTTGGAAGGGAGTCTAATGGACTGATTATGCTGGAAGATGGGCTCAGTTTGGTAAACACACTGCTGCTTAAAGTGGCAATATAAATAAAATGGCAGCACAGAACAAAATCCACTCTAGGCTGAGGGTCACTACAAGGACTACGTGCTGCATAAATCCAACTTGAATTCTCAAAAGGAGGATTAAGAGGGCTTTAAATGAGGCATGGGCCATGTGGGAGCCATCTGCACAGACATGAATTTCTCTCTGTTAGAAGAGTCAGATTATACTTCAGTGGATCAACATGACTGTTACTTGCAGCACTTTGTACAGCATTAAGATTCAAAAAATATTGTTCCTTATTTCACTCCAGATTTAACAGCTGTATTTCATGTATTTTAAACATGAACATTAATTTTTGAATTGATTTTATTTGTGGGATATACATTTTTTAAGGGGCTGAGAAGAGTGTTTTCACATATGTCAATTTAGTGTAAATTGTTCGTACAGTTAGCAAAGAGCTTTAATAGAGTAGTGGCTACTTATATTTATTTGATGGCAGAAGCTATCTAAACTGCTGTTAAGGGAAGTCACTGGTAACGTGTAAAGTCAAGCAGCTAATGTTACAAGTTTAAATTTGTGATAATCAAAGTGTTTTACAACAGCATGCAAAAATGCCTACTGATTTTTCAAAGAGAAAATACCTCTATCAACTTCTCATTCAGTGAGAACCCACCACTGGTGTCACGCAGAGCTTTTCACTGGCGTTCAGTGAATACCTGTAGTGTGGATGAAAGTCTGACTGTAGCAACATGACAAGTTCAGGCATTTTTAATTTCTGCAGACTAATCTCAATTTACTCCTTACATTGCAAGAGGTTCCTTTCCAAGTTTTTTGGAGGCCCCCCAAGAGGGGGCAGGTGGGCCATGACAAATGCGACCCATGTCAAATATAAACAACTTTGTTGAGTGATATTTAATGTGACTGTACTTTTAGTCTGTTTTTAATGGAATTAAGTGTTTTGCTGGACTAGTTTGTACAATCTTTTCCCTCAGGGCACGTTTCCCACACTTTTGCTTATTGTCATTCTCCTTCCCTGGAAATTCTGTAAGCCGCATAGTTCCTAAAAATCATATTTTCAACATTAGGAGAAGCCAGTAAGAGCTGCCAACAGCCAAAGGACCAAATCCTGCAAGTTATATACACATGATTATCTAAAACAGTTTGCTATTTGCATTTTTAACAACCGCATAAGATTCATCCATATCAAGATTGTGATCTTTCATAAACTTCAGGACTTTTTCCAGAACTACTGCAGAACCATTTTCTTTCATGAAGTTGATTATTCTGTGCTAAATGTAGTACCTTGTGCGTTCTCCTACTGATTATCCCCCTACATATTTTTTGGACTCTTTGTTCAAATTGTTGGATTAAATCTTTGTTCCAAACATATCCTCAAATAGATTTGCTTTATTCTCCAAGCTTGATATCTTTCATAAATCTAATCAAAATAATTGGTTATTCTTTGTCAATACTGATTAAAAACATAGGACGTATAAATACTGCTAAAAACTAAATGATCAAGCTCAGAGAAAAATAATTGAATTTTTTAAAAAAAATTATAAAATTGTACAAAGTACAAGGTACAGAGCTGTATCTAAAGTTCATCTGTCTTTGCCATCATGATATTTTATTTTTCTTACCGAAAGTCACTGCTTCCTTCTTACCTATCTTCATACAATATTTGCTGCCTCTCTTCCTGGGCAGCAGTAGCTGCAACATCAAAGATGATTCTTAGGTATAACTGCACCCTCTGGCTACCACTTTCATTGTTGTAGCTATGGACCTCACTTAATGATTCCAAATAACTGAAAGGCATATTGCTTTTTAGAAGCCCAATACAATTCCTACAGAAGTGACAAAAATTTGTAGGTAGTTTAAAGAAATCTGGGATTTTGTTATAAATACACTCACAAAAAAAAAAAACAAAAAACAAAACAAAACAAAAAACCAATGGTTATTGGAGCATGATATGCAATCTATCCATTGCTTTTTTTCTCAGTAAGCATCACAATAAGAGATTATTTTCTTGTTTCTTTATAATTACTGAAATGGCAAAATCTTATGAATATGTAAATTTTTGCTTCCAATTTAAAACTTCATTTGTTAGCATCTGATCTACTGTGCTTTATTTCTGTTCGGGAAGTAAATCTAGTCAATGAATGTAAGTTTAACAAATATTATATTGCTGATGTGATGGAAACACCTTCAGAATGAATGAATATGAATTATTTATTTAAATATACTCTCCTTTAGGTCTTCAGAAACAAAAGAAATATGTCAGAATTAGAAGAATGATATAGGACAACCAAAACATACCTATGATCAGCACTTTTTCTTAGTTGTGTTTTTCTGTATGGGGAAAAATAGCATGAACTGTGTTCCTATGCTGAATACCACTGATTTTAGATTAGCTTTCAAAAAAAGGTATTTAGTTTTCAAGAGCAATCAATCTTTGAATTCTATTTTCCAAAATCTAAAGATCACAAGTATCTTTAGTGAGGAAAATAGACATGCAAACTAGGTTGTCTTTAATGGTAATCACACCTCTTTTCTTTTGTTTTCTTTTTGGTCAACCCATCCATTTTGATGAAAGTATTTTGAGGGAGTTCTTGATGGAAATGAAATCAATGAATCATTACAGCATAGCAATGGCTTGAGATGTGCAGGACCCATAGACGGGACTTTGCCTCAAATCTACAGTACAAATTTAAGGGTAAACTATGAAGAAGATGTCCCATTTGTCAAAATGTGATATCCAATCATTAACAGAGGCCCTGTCCTTTTGTCTGAAATAATGTCTTTCCATGTGGATTCCATTCATTGCTACCTGTATGTGATGACGTGAAATGTTAAGAAAGGTATCTATCTCATCAATTTTGTAATCTATTTTGATCTGTTTAAATCAGGATTAAAACATGATATTAAAATTTTGTTTTCTGCAATTTCAAAGAAACAGTGACATCAGTTCAAGAGGAAATCAACTGGTACCAGATTAGTGTTTAAAATCAAGCTGTTTGCAGTTCAGAACAGTATAGTGGTAAACAATAGTGTTCAAATAACCAAAGCCACAGCTTCAAATAAATCCTCAAACTCTTACCAAAACTTACAGTCAAAAGGCCACACAGATATTTTTAGGATTTATACATAATATTCCTCAAGAGATGTGTATTATTAAATACACGAAGAGAAAGAGCATAATCACACATGGCCACAGAAACAGAAAGCTTTCTAATACTTTATAGCTGAGCATAATAATTAGGATTTCCTTGGGCCTTGAAAAAATTCTACTTTTTAAATAAAAAATGTTATCTGAAATTATCATTCTTTGATTACAGCAATTTTAATAGAGTTAATAACATATTTACATGTAGCCATACACAGAATAACTTTTGAACTAATAGTACCAAAGGAGTATTTGTGAAAAGCACATTCATACCAAAGCTTTAATGAAGTTCATTTGCATTAAAAATTTAGAAGTTTTATCTAAAATAAGAAAGGAAACCTTTTTTTTTTTTTTAAACAGTGATGCCCTAAAATGAATACATGCACACACACACACGAGCTTCATTAATACGTTTTGAAAGAAAAAATCACCCCGTATGCAATGGACTCCTCCAAGAAGATCCCCTGTCCAGATATTCCACTAAAATGTACAGGGTATCCATTAGACGACTTTAACAGCTGTGACAGCTGTGACCAACACATGGATTATCAGAAATATTTCTAGTCAAAAAGAAGGACTGTAGCCAAGTCAATTTATAAAAGCACATGGAGTTCTGCTGTCATTTTATATTAATGCCCTCAAAAAAAGCACTCAAATGTTATTATCAACAATAATAGCAACTGCATCTTTCCTGCTTTACAGGAGCACCCTTAGATATGAATGTGTTGCCAAATTAATGCTTTTTATACACAATGACCCTGCTACAAAACTTCCAGAACTACAAATATTGCATCTGGTACCCCAGAAAATAATTATGGTGATACCCAGTGTTCTGGAAAGTGCCCTTTCCTGTGTATGCATTATATCCCTAGCACTTGAGTCTGACTTGGCAGGCTCCAACCACTCCACCTGCCATTGTGGAGACTCTATCCATCCAGCATCACTGGACTAGACCTCTAGAAGGATATTCACATCAACTGCTCAACAGAAAAGAGCGCTACTGATCATCCTGCTTGTAGATTAAGAATGTCTGCAAGTAAAAAATAAGCAGGAGCTTGGCCTTTAAAACTATTTTGGGAAGATTGCTCAACTCAGGTAGACATAGAACAGAGACAGTAGAGTCATAGCAGAGCCCCTCATCCAGAAAACACAACCAACTGAAAGCTGCTACACAGCAGTATTACTTTATAATCATTTTGAGCTGATGCAATCATAAACGTTATCTTCTGGAGAACCATGAGAAGATTTAAACCCCGATTTACAGATTTTCGTATGTGCAAAGTTGCTGAAATAGCAAGCACAGTATAAATTCTCACATCTACCATATTTGTAACTCCTGTTAACTGGAATACATAAGTACAACACTTCTGGAATACAACTACTCTTAAAATATTATTTCCTATTGTCAGTGGTTTAGGGACTGGTTTTGCCCGATTCCGCAACTAGCGAGGCAGGGGAACCCCTGGATCCAAACCCAGGAAAGGGAAAAGGGGAAAAATGGGAAATGGGTCTAAAATCAAAACAGTGGTTAATGATCTGAGCAGAAACAAACTTACCTACTAAATAAGATATTGGAATGCAAGATAACGCACTATAATACAATAAAATTAGAATTGGAGCTAATAAATGAAATGAGAGTGAGCTTCTGAAAGCCGAAGGCCTTACTCTAACACTGTGATGAGATGGCACCTGCAACAGAGACAAGCCAGGTGATTGAAAGGGGAATCTCAGCTGCCCAGGAATCCTAAAGTGATGACGAAGTGGCCTGAAGGTAAAAATTTTGGAAGCACTAGTATCGTGAACTACCAGAAAATGAAATTTGCCCTGTTCACAGATGGATCATGTCATACTGTGGGCAAGCACTGCAGATAGAAGTCTGCTGTGTGGAGCCCTACACAACAAAACCATGACACCTTTTCTGACAGGAGAGGAACACTGATGTAGTTTGTTTTATCACGTCATCAAAATTCATCCTAACATTTTGTATTTCTGTTATTCATCTCCATATGAAAGTAAATCAACGATTTTTTTTCTTCATCCTTTGCTTTCATGTTAATTTTCCTTTATTTTTGTTGTTAGTGTTTTTATATAAGAAATATGATAGAGATTCAAAGCATAGCAGTTTCAGTGAATTGTAGTAGTCTATCAGTTTATTCAGTTTACATATATGAAAAAGTAATGTAATTAGATTACAACTACAACAGTTGGGTGATTCAGCCATGCTGAATGTTCATGCTGTTGACCAGCTAGTTCACTTCTATTTACTAATTTATAATACTAATTTATATACATTCACTTGCTGATAACTGATTCAACTAATATTGCTAACAAAGTTAATTGATAGTTTCTTAAATGAAGAAATCTTTTCCTTAACAAGTACTGTATAATCAAAACTTTAGTATGTTCAGAATCAATCATTGATTCAAAAACACTTTCAAATGCATTGACATTTTCAAAATTGAGAATTCTGAAGTTGAGATTTAAACAATGATAAGTGGGAAGTTAGCTCAAAAAAAAAACAAAGAGGTTTACATGAAACAGAAAGGCTTCAGAACTATTAAACCAGAACACTAATTACTTTATTTACTGTGGTAAACGTAAAGTTTATATCATTTTCTTTTAAGCAGAGTTTCAAAATATCAAAATTTCTTTCTCATCAGAAAAAACTGACTGCTTCTGCCCCTTATTTGAATAGTTACAGAAGTGGATTTCCAAAAAAGAAATAAAATGTTAAAAATATTTTTAAAGAATTCTTTTAAGAAATGATGTGTTATATTTTGTCATGATTTACAGAATTCTAGAATGTTAAAACAAGTAGGATAATTAGACATAAAAAATAGGAAAATATTTTTTTTAATTGAAATGCCATCAAAATCATAGAAGTATCTTTGAGTAGCATACACACTAGAAATCTATGTTGAAATAGATTTGAAATAGCTTTGCAGTCCAGGTATTGTTTGCCAGTCCGTATTTGTGCCTGCTTCATAGAGAATATTTATAACAGGGTAAAGAGATGTACAAAATGTGTTTCCAGACAGAAGCTACATACCAGATATTTATGCTGTGAAAATATATATGTCTTCAAGATCATTTACATTTGGTTTGTATCTTGTGATTTTAAACCTCTTTCACTCACAGCTCCTGAATTCAGAATATTTTTGACAGTTTTCACCTTAATTGTCAAATCAAAATTCTGGCCTTCAGCTTTCATTTATTTTATTTTAAAATTTATTTTTATATATTTTTAAGATACTAACTTTATTTTAAATATTTTATATTATTTCTATGTCAAACTAAGATACTTTACATACTATTCACTTTATCTGACATACAGGGAACAGCAGCAATAACAAAACACAAATATAAAATAGGCAGAATTCTCACTAATGAACACTGTTACTGCTTGTGTGATAGGTATCACAAGAAGCCATCCCACCCTTTTAAGCAACATAGAGTTAAGGGCTGCTGTCTGAAAGAACCCTGAAGTTTTCCCAGTTGAAGATTGCAGGCATTTACCATAAATGTAGAAAATAAATCAGATGTGTGCCTGATTATCACTAGTTTCCTAAGCCAGTAAATTCATTTACTAATCTTTCTTTTTTCTCTAAATAGATTACAAAGTGAAACAAGTAGAAAAACTCATTGGAGCTGCTACAATATTTTGACATGAACTTTCGGCTGAAATTTCAACCACTTAAACAGTGGATTCAAAAATCTCACTGAGCTAAAGATGTAGTAAATGATATTTAGTAACTGGTAAAATTTCTGTAAAATCTTGTTTGTTTGTTTGTTTTTTCATGCAACAGGATGACGATGCACAGGAAAGTCAGTTCAGTTTTACAGCGTATGGAGTGGGGCCATGTCTGCAAGCAAAAGATGGAGTGGCACAGAAGGGGCCAAATAATCCTGCTCAAGCTGCACCTAAAAGCCCTGATGAGATGAGAAAAGTATTCATTGACCGAGCCAAGAAGATAGACACAATTTCCAGAGCTTGTTTCCCTTTAGCCTTTCTAATTTTCAACATTTTTTACTGGGTAATTTACAAAATCATAAGGCACGAAGACATTCACCAATAACAAGATTGAGGCTTGCAGCCCTAGAGATCTGTCTGCCATGATCAACAGGAGGCTTTCTGAGGGAAACAAGTGAGTGAGGAGTGACTGGGAAAGCAAAAAGCACTAAGGAGGGTAAACAGATCCTGCCTAGTTTGAAATGCCCATTTACAGTGCAATGGAAGAATGACACAAGGGAAGACACTCTGCAACTGCAAACTTTCTGGATCAAATGTTAGCAACTCATCGTAAATCACTCTCTACTCAAGCTTTACTGCCAAGTGTTTATACATACTGTTACATAGTAGTATAATTGTACAGTATTATTTGATGTTCCTTAATGTTTTTTTAAACTCTCATGTATTTTAACGATCCCAAATCCAGAATAGTCTATGTAAATCCCATATTACTAGAGAATATACTAGTATTTGCTACTTTTATTTCAGTTTTACAAGATAACGATAAATTACTTGAGTTTAGATTTTTAAAGACTCTTTCTTGTCCTAAGGACAGGACCTGTGGTTTTGCAGTGAGCACAGTTGACACATTTAATTAATGTAATTTATTCAGTATGCTTTTTATCAATCTCCTGGGTGGTATGAGTTGAAATAATCTTAGCTAGCCCAAAATATTTACAGCTAAATAGTCTATGTATCACCTGGAAGATACATCAACATTTATAAAGTATTGATTCCTGCAAAATACTTTTTTTTTCTTTTAATTACCTATGCTTTGGCAACTTAAAATATTTATAAATCCTTTTAAAAAGTTCAGAATTTTTTCTTAATTGACAAACTCATGCAGTATTTGAGATAGACAAACTAATCAAAATTTTGCAATGCTTCATTTTAATTCAGTGCATAGAGATATTGGACCAAAACTAAAGGCAAATAATCAACTGCTTCACTGAAATATTATGAGGATGAGTACAGCTGCGTTTATTTACATGCATTTCCTACATGTTACATGTATCACAGGAAGATCAATGTAGGAATAGATCATATAGTAGCTTTCTGTAGTATTCTTTAAGTGTATTTATATGATTGAGGCATTGATTAGTTAACACTTCACAATTTTGGAAAAAAAAGCATGTAGCTCTTCTAAAACATGAAAAGGGATCTGAATGGTTTTTTGCATTATTTATGTTTTGTATAATAAATAGAAAACCTATTAATACTTAGAGACATTTTCCTTCTTTGGGACTAAATCAGTCAATGGTTTCTTCTGTAAGTTATAAGACAGCAGGTCATATTTATGACTTAGCTTGTAGACAGATGTTTAGTCTTTCCATTTTTGTCCACTGAAAAACAACAGTATGCTAAGATATAAATCTAATATTTAGAATTATTCATTACGTAAAAGTCCAGTAAACGAGGCTGTTTCTCATTGCAAAATATTTTTGTTTTGAACATGTTTTGAATTTTTGCTTCATTATTGCTCAGAATGTGTATACAAAAGCAAAATACAGCTGGAGGCAAACATCTGGTGCACTGCCAAAGGCATGTTGCATATGAAGTAATGGAAGCAGTGTAACTCTGCACTGAGGATTATAACATAGCAACCTTGGGTTTGGTTGAATTTGTTGTTGTTTTCCTCCAAGGATTAGTTAGAGAGTTAAAATAGTTGCTCTCAGATTTTATTCAGCTGTGTCAGAAAATGTATAATCCTCCAACATTTTAAATGCTATTATTTTAAAAATAATATTCTAAAACAGCATTTTTAATAGTTTTTCTTCTTTTATGATCTGACATAAACTCAATTCACTTCAAGTAATATTTTTTATGTTACTTCTTCATATTTATAAATTTATAAATTTATTTATAAAAAATCCCATTCATTTATGAGCGCAGGTGCTCATCCATGTATCATGAGCTTACATAACTAGATGGATTATATCTTTTTTCCCTTAAAATTGTCATAAAATGTGTCACGTGAAAAGGGATATTAATTTATCCTTGTCAGCAGTCAAGTCAAAGTATCTTTTTAAGGACTGTTTGAAGTACTGGACTGGACTCATAATCCATAAGCAACCATATTAAAAATTGGCTGATCTCAGTTCTTTCCCTGCAAAACAGCTGGCTTCTCTTCAATAAAGAATTCTTAATTGAAGTGGTAAATGCATAAGACCAGATCAGAACAACTGCTAGCAATTCTGTTTTCTAGCTCCTAGTTATTCTGCTTTCTAGCCATTACATTGGGAAGCAAAGCAGAAAACTTACACATAGTGTTCAGTTTTCTAAGAAGGCATATCGAAAGTAAAGAGATTTAAATACTTTTATAGCATAAAAGCTCTACAGCATTACTGAACTTTATTTTAAGTAATATATTAGTAAGAAAGTATTTCAAATAGGGGAGAACTGAAAAATGGTTCCGTAATGATGCTTTCAAATGTAAATACATTTGGCATGTAATCTGCTGCCCTCAGTTAAATACAGATTTTCAATTTTGATGTAACGTAACCAAGAACTCTCCTCTAATTTTTTTAACAGAAAACATAACATTTGCCAACAGAATGGAAGCCTCTGTGATATACTGAATACTGGGTATACCAAAATAGATTTAAACTTCATTTAGATTATTCCTAAATGACTTAGGATGAAGTCACTTAGTAGAGAAAGACAGAAATACCAGTTGAGATTATAAGACAATTCAAGGCAAGAATGTCTGTTACTCACCACTGACTAGAGATATGTGACCAAAACCATGCTTGTCTCAGTAAAGCCAAAAGCTTCAGGTCCTCAAAAGGATAAGAAATGTCGCTCAGAGGTGCAGTGGATATATTCGACTACCAAATTCCTGCTTAAATTCCACATAGGAAAATGCATCTTATTTTTAAGACCATATGCAAATATCAGAGAAATAGAGTTAGAGGGTTGTCTTTTTTTCTCAGTAATGTTGATAAATTAGAGGGGCATTGAGGGAGAAAGGAAAGAAGAAATAATAGTGTTATACTATTTGGAATTTAGCAATTTTTAAATGAAGTACGTATTCTTTTTAAAGAATTTTGACAGCAAGTACTACTACTTAATTAGGTTAGAGGAATGCAGGAAGAATACAGGATTTAATGATCATTTTCAGTTTAATAATATATTACTTTTCTTTCCATTCTCTTTATTAGAGTTGGTTCCATAAACTTTTTATAGACTTCTCTATAACAAATCTGCTGTGATCTGTGAGAGATGATTCTCTTTAACCACTAGAAAGTATTATATTTAGGTGATTTAGCTGTGCACTTTACATTAAAGAAATTAGGTATTTCTTCCACTTTGTACTATAACCCGTTAGAGAACTGTAGGTTGCTAATGTAGATAAGATAAATTGTACAAAAACTTATATTTTTGATAGGAGGGAAAGTCTTCCTTTATCCTTAAAAAAGATTACATTTATTATTTTTAGCAATAATTTTATATTAGATGGAAATGGACTTATCTATACAGTACCCAGCCCAAGCTGAGATGTTTGGTTGCAAAAAGTTGATATATTTTACGTGTAATTTCTGCTCTCCTTTGAGCTTTCATAGGAATTAATGCAATCCAACAGAGCAGAATTTGGCCTTATACTGTGAAACTGCTGAGTGAGCTATTAATTTTCAAAGTACCCCCTGGAAGGTTATGAAATAACTTTTTCCACATCTTACTGTACAATCAGAACTATCAAATCATCATAATTTTTTCCTTTTTGAGAAAACTAATAAGAAAAAGATATAAATCACAAACTAAGCTACTTGTTAATAATAAAATGGGTGTTTTATTTGTAAGTGGTTATGGAAAACGTGCCTTCAGGCAACATGCATCACCTACAGTAGTTACTGAAATATTATCAGTTTGGAAGGCTTGTGGAAGCAGGTTAGATTGCTAGAAGCAGTGGGTTAAATGCCAGAAAATTGTTGGCTCATACTGTATTCTTGACATTCTTGAATATTACTGCACTTCTTCACTTTTATCTTTGTGAAATATGCAATAAACATTTATTATGTTTATATTTCATTGCATAACAGAGTGAAGTTAATGGATAAAATGGACTGAAAAAGTTACTGATGTTCCAGAAATGTGTAATTGTGAGCTGTATTCAAAAAAAAAAAAAAAAAAATTGTGCCATAAGCTTTTGTCATAAAGTTTTAACATTATATACATATTTTGTGTGCTAGTGATCCCAAAATTTTAAAGGATACAGAAAAAAATAAAGGGAAAAATATACATAGTGTATTAATAACTTGTCTGTGAGTTTTAAACATATTCTCCTGTGAATTCTGCCTAGTAATATCCAATGGCAATTTCATCTCAAATACTTCCTTTTTGGTAAAACTATTAATGTGTTATGCATGGATTTGATTAAAGTTCTTTTTATTGTATTATAGTATCATATTGCACTTAAACTGACATTCTCTGCAGACAGAAGTCTTAAAATATGTGAAATTTATGGCGTTACCCATGTCAATGTAGATATTTTGTTCAAAAATAAAGAACATTTTTTCAGAAACTGCAATTATTTTTATGACATTTTAGGCAATGTGTTTAAAACCACAGGAGAGACTATCAATACCATTTGAAAAATAAATTGAAGGCCTTGGCAGTAGTTAAGCTGCATTACCACTTAAGTATTCCAGGATTGAAAACATGAAAGAAAAGGCATGGCAGGAATGAATGAAGAGAAAAAAAAAGCCCATTGTGAAAACTTAAAGAAAGTTACATTGGTAAATGCCTACTGAGATAAGTCCAGCCATATCAAAATAGTCCTGCTGACATTTTTAGAAATGGAAAGTATTTTGCTGCCTGATGGGCTAACAGACAGATCTATGGGATCTGCTATCTATTTCTTCATAGAAAATGGTTTCTGGAAAATTAACACATTGGTCTTTTGAGAACAGCTTGAGTTCTGCTAATCTATTATTATAATAGTGTTTATACATATATCTATGATTATAACAGTGTTTATATACATATAAATAGCATAGAAATCGATGTCTCAGTAACAGCCACACGTCACTGTGATGCCACCTAGACTAAAAGTTCTTAGCAGCCTCA